GAAATTTTTTTTAAAAAAAGGGGGTTTAAAAAAAAAAAAAAAAAAAAAATTTTTTTTTTTTTAAACCCCTTTTAAAATTTTTTTTTAAAAAAAGGGGGGCCAAAAAAATTTTAAATTTTTTTTTTTTTTTTAAAATTAAAAAAAACCAAAAAAAAAATTTTTTTTTTTTTTTGGCCCTTTTTTTAAAAATTTTATAAAAATTAAAAAAAGGCTAAAAATTTTTTTTTTTTCCCCTTCCCCCCCTTTTTTTAACTTTTTTTTCTTTTTTTTTTTTTTTTTTTTTTCCTTTTTTTTTTAAAAATAAAAAATTTTTTTTTTTGGGGGGGCCCAAAAAACCATTTAAATTTTTAAATTTTTAAAAAAAGGGGGTTTTAAAAAGGGTTTTAGAAAAGGGGGGGTTTTTTTTAAAATTTTTTTTTTTTTCCCCCCAACCTTCCCTTGTTAATTTTTTTTCCCCCCCTTTTTTTAAAATTTTTTTTTTAAAAATTTTTTTTTGGGGGGGGGGGTTGGGTTTTTTTTGGGGGGAAAGGGGGGGTTAAAATTCCCCCCAATACCCCCAAAAAAAAAAAAAATTTTTTTTTGGGGGGGGAAAAAAACCCTTTTTGGGGGGGAAAAAACCCTTTTTTTTTTGGAAAAAAACCCCTTTTTTTGGGCCCTTTGTTTGGGCGGGGAAAATTTTTCCGGGGCTTATTAACCCGGGCCCGGTTTTTTTGGGGGGGCCCCCAAAAAAATTTTTTTAAAAAAAAAAAAATTTTTTTTTGGGGGGGTTTTTTTTTTCCCCCTTTTTTTTTAAAAAAAAGGGCCCCCGGGGGGGGGAAAAAAAATTTTTCCCCAAATTTTTTTCCCCCCCCCCTTTTTCCCCCTTTTCCCCCGGTTTTGAAAAAAAAAAAAGGGGGGGAAAAAAAATTTTTAAAATTTTTTTAAAGGGGGGTTTAAAAAAAGGGCCCCCAAAAAAAAGGGTTTTTTTTTTTTAAAAAGAATTTTTAATTTTTAAAAACCCCCCCCCTTTTTTTTGGGGGGGGGGGGAAAAATTTAAACCCCTTTTTTTCCCCCATTTTTTTCCCAAAATTTTGGGGGGGAAAAAAAAAAAATTTTTAACCCCCAAAAAAAAAATTAATAAAAAATTTTTAAAAAATTTAATTTTTTTAAAAAAAAAAAAATTTGGGCAAAAACCCTTTTTTTTCCCTTTTTCCCCCCAAAAATTTTTTTTAAAAAATTATTTTTTTTCCCTTTTTTTTGGGGGGGTTTTGGGGGTTTAAATTTTTTTAAAATTTTTTTTAAAAAAACCCCCCAAAGTTTTAAAATTTTTTTTAAAAAAAATTTTTTCCCCAACCCCCCTTTTTTTTAATTTTTCCTTTTTTAAAAAAAAAATTTAAAATTTCCCCCAAAAAAAACCCCTCTTTTTTTTTAAACCCTTAAATTTTTTTTTTAATTTTTTTTTTTTTGGGTTTTTTTTTCCCCAAAAAAAAATTTCCCCCTTTTTTTTTGGGGGCCCCAAATTTGGAAATTTCCCCCCCTTTTAAAAAGGGGGAATTTTTTTGGGGTTTTTTTCCCCCTTTTTGGGGGAAAAAAACCCTTTTTAAATTTAAAAAAAAAAAAAAATTTCCCTTTGGTTTTTTCCCCCAAAAAAAAAGGGTTTTTTAAAAAACCCCCCCCGGGGGGTTTTTTTGGGGTTTTTTAAAAATTGGGGGGTTTTTTAAAAAACCTTTAAAACCCCCCCCTTTTTTTTTTTTTAAAAAAGGGGGGTTTTTGGGGTTTTTTTTGGGGGGGGTTTTTTTTTTTAAAAAAAACCGGGGTTTGGGGGGGGGGGAAAAAAAGGGGGGGGGGGTTTTGGGGGGGGGGGTTTGGGGGGGGGGGGGGGGTTTTTTTTTTCCCCCCCCAAAAAATTTTTTGCGGGAAAAGGGGTTTTTATTTTTTTAAAAAACCCCCCTTTTTGAAAAAAAAACCCCCCCCCAAAAAAAAAACCCCCCCCCAAAAAAACCCACCCCCCCCCCCCAAAAAACCCCCCCCCCCCCCCCCCCCCCCCCCCCCCCCCCTTTTTTCCCCCCCCCCCCCCCCCCCAAAAAAAAAAAATTTAAATCCTTTTCCCGGGAAAGGGAAAAAAATTTTGGCCTTTTGGGTTTTTTAAAAAAAAAAAAATTTTTTTTTTTTAATTTTTTTTTTTTCCCCTTAAATTTTTGGGGGGGTTTTCCCCTTTTTCCCCCCCTTTTGATGGGGTTAATCTACTCTGTTACAGGGATATTTTTAAAAGCTTTTAAGGGTTTTTCTGTAATTAAACCTCTTTTTAAGAAAAATGTCTCTTGACCCAGATGACTTTGGGCAATTTTTTAGACCTTTATCCAATTTTTCCTTTCTTATCCCAAAAATTTTTTGGAAGAAAGTAGTTTCCCAAAAAAGTTTGCGAACTTAACCTAATGACCCTTTTTAAGAGTTTCAGTTGGCTTTTGAGCTCTCATAGCACTGAAACAGCTCTGGTGAAAGTCACTAATGATATTCTCATGGCCTCAGATAATGGACTTGTATCTGTGCTCGTCCTGTTGGATCTTAGTGCTGCATTTGATACAGTTGACCATAATATTCTTTTAGAAAGACTTGAATATTTTGTTGGAATTAAAGGAACAGCACTAGACTGGTTTAAATCTTATCTATCTGATCGAATTCAGTTTGTTCATGTTAATGATAGATCTTCAACACGCTCAAAGGTTACCTGTGGAGTACCACAGGGATCAGTGCTAGGACCAATTCTCTTTACTTTATACATGCTCCCAATTGGTAGAATTATTAGACAGCATGGGATTAATTTCCACTGTTATGCTGATGATACCCAGCTATATCTGTCTATAAATCCAGATGAAGCTAACCCATTACATAGATTACAGGCATGTCTTGAAGACATAAAAACCTGGATGACTCTTAACTTTCTGCTTCTGAATGCAGATAAAACAGAAGTTATAGTCTTTGGACCAGAGTCTCTGAAAAAGAAACTGATTAGCCAGTCACTTCATTTGGATGGGATTAAACTGATTTCAGATAATAAAGTAAAAAATCTTGGTGTTATTTTTGATCAGGACCTGTCATTTAAATCCCATATCAAAGAGGTTTCTAGAATTTCCTTCTTTCATCTGAGGAACATTGCAAAAATTAGAAATATCCTGTCCAGGGGTGATGCTGAGAAACTAGTCCATGCATTTGTTACTTCAAGGCTGGACTATTGTAATTCTTTACTATCAGGAAGTCCACAAACTGTAGTTAAAAGCCTTCAGCTGATCCAAAATGCTGCAGCCAGGGTTCTGATGAAAATTAAAAAGAGAGATCATATCTCGCCTATCCTGGCTTCTCTTCATTGGCTTCCTGTTAAATCAAGAATAGAATTTAAAATCCTCCTTCTCACATATAAAGCCTTAAATGGCCAAGCACCATCTTATATCAGAGATCTGATTGTTCCTTATGTTCCTAACAGAGCACTTCGCTCTCAATCTGCAGGTTTACTAGTGGTTCCTAGAATTTCTAAAAGTAGAATGGGAGGCAGATCTTTTAGTTATCAGGCTCCTCTCCTGTGGAACCAACTACCAGTTTTAGTCCGTGAGGCAGACACCCTGTCTACTTTTAAGGCTAGGCTTAAAACTTTCCTTTTTGATAAAGCTTATAGTTAGGGTGGCTCAGGTTATCCTGAGCTATCTCTATAGTTATGCTGCTATAGGCTTAGACTTTTGGAGGACATAGGGACCCCCATTTCATCATTCTGCTTCATTCTCTCTCTGTTCTCCTATTCTGCAGAATCTGTTAGTTCAATCTCTAACCTTCTGCTCTCTCTGCTTTTCCTCAGAGTAGCTTTGCCTCGTCTGTTCCTGTTTGGCTGTGACGTCATCCTGGAAAGAAACATCAGCTGTGCTGCTTCCATCAACACCCTTGTTTATAGATGTTGGAGATCGGCCTGTTTTCCAGTGTGGTCCTGTTTCTCTGGCCGTGACTGAGTGGATGTGCTCTCTTCGTCCTCTGGCATGGGAGCTGCCTTGGAGCTCGTCTGCCTGGCTGTGTGTTTCCTGGACGGGGCCGCCTTTTACAGCTGCTTTTTGTATCTCTGTTTCTGTCTCCTTGAACCCCAGTCGGCCTCGGCAGATGGCCGCTCACACTGAGCCTGGTTCTGCTGGAGGTTTCTTCCTGTTAAAAGGGAGTTTTTCCTCTCCACTGTCGCTACAAGCATGCTTAGTGTGGGGGATTGTATTTGAGTCAATGAGTCAATGCAATCAACTGGTTTTCCTTAGATAGAAAACTTTGTATCAATTTGACTGTATGATCTGGTTGAACTGTAAAGTGCCTTGAGATGACATGTGTTGTGAATATGGCGCTATATAAATAAACTGAATTGAATTGAATTGAATAGAATTGTACCTTTAATATTTAAAGTAATGATGCAAGTGGAACAATGTGGTTAGTTTATTTCTTTGTGAAGTTACATGTAGCAAAATGTGGCTTGTCCAAGGTGCTCAAAACAGTAAATGATTCATATTATAAGGCTGAATTTGTGAGAGGATTCAGACAAGGACACGGGTGATTTGTTGCTTCCGAAGATGAAATAGCGAAAAAGTGAGGATTTTCTTTTTTGACATCTAAACATCTAAAATCAGTGTCCAAACCTAGGTTTTGTTTTGTGTTTTGTCTCCTTTGAAGTTCTGCTTGATGAAAACCAAGGCCCAGATGAACGGTTAAGAGCTAAACACTGTATAATTAGCTCTGCTGTACTTGTTGTACTCATGGGAGGACATGTGCATGTGGCCTGTTCTTCAAGGACAGTAAAATATGCAGGATGCAGTAAAAGCTGAAACACTTGCAGCATCTGAATTAACCTAGCCAATCGTCTTCAAGAAGTTGTGTGTTATCTCTTTAATCAATATGGGTAAAGGCGGGTTACTGAGGGAAGTAATGTACTGATTTTCTGATAAGATGTAGGATTTTTTAAGTTCACGTTTTAATTTTTCATCCTTTTTTCTCCACTACAGGCTCCGACTACTCTCCCCCTCCCCTTCCTCGGCCTCCTCCCGTTGTCTTGACGAATGAGCACAGAGGTGGCGGTAGCCATGGCGACCACAGTGGCGGGGGAGGAGGGGCCAACCGTGCGGTGGGTTTGGTTGGCCTTGCACCGGAGCACATTCCCACCCCAGGAGCAGCCCTGAGCTGGCAGGCAGCCATCGATGCTGCGCGGCAGGCTAAGATGATGGGCAACGCTGCTTCAGGCGGCGGGGCGGGACTTGGGTCAGGTGGGGGCGGCCCCATTTCTACAGCCAGCTCCACGCAAAGGAAGAGACAACACTACGCTTCTAAACCCAAGAAACAAACCACAACGACAGCCACAAGGCCGCCAAGGGCACTACTCTGTCTCACACTCAAGAACCCTATCCGCCGGGCTTGCATCAGCATCGTAGAGTGGAAGTATCCTTTAACCAACCATCCATCATTTTTTGTACAGGTGCTGGTCATAAAATTAGAATATCATGAAAAAGTAGATTGATTTCAGTAATTCCATTTAAAAAGTGAAACTTGTATATTATATTCATACATTACATACAAACTCATATATTTCAGATGTTTATTTGGTTTAATTTTGATGATTACAAATGACAACAAATGAAAATCTCAAATTCATCATATCAGAAAATTAGAATATTGTGAAAAGGTTCAAAATTGATGGCCCCTGGTGCCACACTCTAATCAGCTAATTAACTCAAACCACCTGCAAAAGCCTTTAAATGGTCTTTCAGTCTAGTTCTATAGGCTACACAATCATGGGGAAGACTGCTGACTTGACAGTTGTCCAAAAGACGACCATCGACACCTTGCACAAGGAGGGCAAGACACAAAAGGTCATCGCTAAAGAGGCTGGCTGTTCACAGAGCTCAGTGTCCAAGCACATTAATAGAGAGGCGAAGGGAAGGAAAAGATGTGGTCGAAAAAAGTGTACAAGCAAGAGAGATAACCGCACCCTGGAGAGGATTGTGAAACAAAACCCATTCAAAAATGTGGGGGAGATTCACAAAGAGTGGACTGCAGCTGGAGTGAGTGCTTCAAGAACCACCACACACAGACGTATGAAAGACATGAGTTTCTGCTGTCGCATTCCTTGTGTCAAGCCACTCTTGAACCACAGACAGCGTCAGAAGCGTCTTGCCTGGGCTAAAGAGAAACAGGACTGGACTGCTGGTGAGTGGTCCAAAGTCATGTTCTCTGATGAAAGTAAATTTTGCATTTCCTTTGGAAATCAAGGTCCCAGAGTCTGGAGGAAAAGAAGAGAGGCACTTCATCCACGTTGCTTGAAGTCCAGTGTAAAGTTTCCACAGTCAGTGATGGTTTGGGGTGCCATGTCATCTGCTGGTGTTGGTCCATTGTGTTTTCCGAGGTCCAGGGTCAACGCAGCCACATACCAGGAAGTTTTAGAGCACTTCATGCTTCCTGCAGCTGACCAACTTTTTGGAGATGCAGATTTCATTTTCCAACAGGACTTGGCACCTGCACACAGTGCCAAAGCTACCAGTACCTGGTTGAAGGACCATGGTATCCCTGTTCTTAATTGGCCAGCAAACTCTCCTGACCTTAACCCCATAGAAAATCTATGGGGTATTGTGAAGAAGAAGATGCAATACACCAGACCCAACAATTCAGAAGAGCTAAAAGCCACTATTAGAGCAACCTGGGCTATCATAACACCTGAGCAGTGCCACAGACTGATCGACTCCATGCCACGCCGCATTGCTGCAGTAATACAGGCCAAAGGAGGCCCAACTAAATACTGAGTGCTGTACATGCTCATACTTTTCATGTTCATACTTTTCAGTTGGCCAACATTTCTATAAATCCTTTGTTTTTATTGGTCTTCAGTAATATTCTAATTTTCTGATATGATGAATTTGAGATTTTCATTTGTTGTCATTTGTAATCATCAAAATTAAACCAAATAAACATCTGAAATATATGAGTTTGTATGTAATGTATGAATATAATATACAAGTTTCACTTTTTAAATGGAATTACTGAAATCAATCTACTTTTTCATGATATTCTAATTTTATGACCAGCACCTGTAATTAAGTTCTGCTTTTTTACCCATTGCTGAGAGGCACGGCCATCCTAAAGCAAGTCTAGCTTTGAATATCCTGAAAAGGAAACAAATATGTATTTATGTGTGGTTACTTCTTCCTCATCCTTTAAAATAGAGCAAATATTTAGAGAGATGAATCAACACAAGAGGTCTTTTAAATGTTTTAAGTCAACTTTTTTCCAGAGGTGTTGCACTGAGTTGCAAATAAATCGACTGCATTTTTACAAGACTTAAATATCAATTTCTAAAATATGAATTTAGCCCTTGCTCTAAAACACCAATGGTTTTTCTACAACTTTTTACTTCACACATAAACTTTAAATGTATTCATATTGATCAAGTAGTTGCTGAGCATAAAAATAAATCAAATCTAAGCATTAATTGGGGAAAAAATTGAAAGAAACTAGAATTACTGGGTCAAACTGAAACACGATTCTTTTGAATTATTATGAATTATTATTATTATGAGTTTAAACCATTAACTATATTGACGAAACTATAGCATATTTTTACATTGATTAAAAATGCAAATAGGAAATAGATAAATTGGGTTCTTTAAGCAACAATTTTCACAAATCATGTTGCAAAAGTGTTTCACAGCAAAGAGACAATAAGACAGGTAAAATTTTTGAAATAAACATTATTTAGTGAATCCAATTAGACAACAAATAGACAATCAACTGAAGGAGTCGGATTACATTTTTAATATGGGCGAGAAGCATTAAAATAGTGCAATAAGTTGCAATGAGAAGTTTGATACAAAAGACACAGATAATGTTTGTGAATCACAGCAGGCGTACCTTTTAGCTATGCCTCAAAACTGCATTTATTTAAGACCACCAGCATTGCTTCAGAGCAGAAAAACATTCATGGTCGCATAAAGTATTCACACTATTTTTACTTTTTTTTTTACAAGTTACCGTAGTTATCACCTGCGTTTTGTGCAGTTTTTGCATCTTTTTAGTACTTTGAAAGTCAGCTTGCTTCCACTAAAGAGGCACTGGCACAAAGCCAGAGGATGGAAAGCAGTTTTGTGCACATGTAAACATATTTGGACTGTCAACAAAGCAATAGTAGAATCATATTAATAAATAAACAGTCTATTCAGACGGATACAAATTAATGCAGTGGCAAAAAATGACTGAATTTAAATATTGTAGCCTGTTAATAAAAATAAAGCTGAAAGAATGGAAATCTCAGTTCAAAGTAGGGCTAGAAAATAAGGCCAAAGCTTATATCAAGACACGTTTCCTTGTCTAGCCTGAGAACAACTTCTTCTCATAATTATGCAAAGTTAATGAAACTATTATAGAAATAGTTTTTAAAAGCTAGCATTTTCTAGTATGAATTCAAACTTTCTTTGCAAGGATCAGCTCAGTCAAAATAAAACTGATCAATTCACACTTCCCATAATATCAAAGGACAGCTCCGTGTCAGAGAGGAAAAGCTCACACTGTCCTATTGAAAGGCTGCACTCAGCTATTCATCCATAAGTTGAACTTGAATCTGTTGCTTGCTCTACATCTGGTCAAGCTTTTAAATAAAAACATAGTGTTTAACATACTAAATAACATACTTTATATATTTCCCAGATCATTCAACATTTCATTCAACATAGTTATTTAAAAGATGAATAGATGGAAACAACACTCACAGACTTGGTCAATTTCATGCTTAAAAAAGGCAAATAGTTATTATTTAGACAAAAGCCAAAGGGGAAACCCTCAGTTTTATCTTTCATCTGCTGATCTTTATTTAATCTGTATTAAACTTAAAACTTATTTTATATATTATTTTATAGGAGTGGTAGTCTCTTTTCTTAAAAATGCTGCCATTTTAAATCCCTCCTTTTATATTCATCGTTCTCTTGCCGATCACATCTTTCCTGTTTTATTTTTAAGCTCTAAATCACAGTTGCTTGCTTCACCCTCGGGGTGATGAATAATAGCAAAGCAAAGGGAGGTGGAAATGATCAGTGTCACAATCGAAGTAATCAATACTGGGCGCAGGGTCACCATCAGCGTCACCTCTGGAAAAGCACAGCCACAAATCGACCTCAGAGGGACAGGGGAAGAAGAAGAGGAATCGTCAGGGAAATGAGAAGGGCAGGGATGTGGGCAGGACGTGGATGGTGACAGGAGAGATAATGGAGTAGAGAAGCTAAGGAGGTATGGGGGAGTGGGATGGAGGGTAAACAAGAAAAATTACATGGCAGGTGGAGGGCAAACAATCAGTGAAGGGAGGCAAGAAAGCAGTGATATAACTGAAGGAAGTGAAGTGGAAACTAGTAAATTGGCATTCAGAAAGATACATTTTAATTTCCTTTGTTGAGTGCCCCATGAAGTAAATAATACATGACAATGAATGTAACATTCATTGTAAATGGTAAAAAAGCAGCACATTATGAGAGATTTTTAGCACTTAATGCATAATTCTACACTTTGTTCTTAGAGTATTCTCTTGCAACCAGGGGAAATTATCAGAGGCAAGAATTGAGAATTTAGTAAATGATTGAACTAATTATTTGTGACATTTTCATAAAGTGGAAATATACACTCACCGGCCACTTTATTAGGTACACCTGTCCAAGTGCTCGTTAACATTTAATTTCTAAGCAGCCAATCACATGGCGGCAACTCACTGCATTTAGGCATGTAGAAATGGTCAAGACAATCTCCTGCCGTTCAAACCGAGCATCAGTATGGGGAAGAAAGGTGATTTGAGTGACTTTGAACGTGGCATGATTGTTGGTGCCAGAGGGGCTGGTCTGAGTATTTCAGAAACTGCTGATCTACTGGGATTTTCACGCACAACCATCTCTAGGTTTTACAGAGAATGGTCCGAAAAAGAAAAAACATCCAGTGAGCGGCAGTTCTGTGAGCAGAAATGCCTTGTTGATGCCAGAGGTCAGAGGAGAATGGCCAGACTGGTTCGAGCTGATAGAAGGGCAACAGTGACTCAAATAACCACCCGTTACAACCAAGGTGGGCAGAAGAGCATCTCTGAACGCACAGTACGTGGAACTTTGAGGCAGATGGGCTACAGCAGCAGAAGACCACACCGGGTGCCACTCCTTTCAGCTAAGAACAGGAAACTGAGGCTACAATTTGCACAAGCTCATCGAAATTGGACAATAGAACATCGGAAAAACGTTGCCTGGTCTGGTGAGTCTCGATTTCTGCTGTGACATTCGGATGGTAGGGTCAGAATTTGGCATCTACAACATGAAAGCATGGATCCATCCTGCCTTGTATCAACGGTTCAGGCTGGTGGTGGTGGTGTCATGGTGTGGGGAATATTTTCTTGGCACTCTTTGGGCCCCTTGGTACCAATTGAG